AGGCAGGTGCACAGCCGGCCGCAAGCCGTCCCCACGGCACCGCGCTGCTCTGGGTTTGTGACCGACGGCCGGTGGCGTGCACCCACACGACAGCGCAGGGGAGAGGGAGCACCGACACTAACCCAGGTCAGGCTGTCACGGCTTAAGCACAGCCTCCTGCATCTGCAGGCGTGACTGAACCCTCCAAGTATTAGACAGGGGTTGTTATTTTTTACTGTACTTGGGATACTTCACTTTACGCTCTTTCTTCCAGTCTTTTAAACAGCCAGGACATTTTCACACACTGCCGACACCCGTTCCTTGGACTCCAGCCACCTGCAAATCCCACTCCACTAACCCGTAACAACAAAAGAAAACCAGGTCCCTGTTTCAGTGTCTTGGGGCAGAGATTTTCCCATAGTTATCCGGACTTTGCATAACGAATCAGAAGCCCCGGCTTCCCAGCGATCCCAGCAAGCGAGGGCCAAGAGGAACTGGTGCCCTGAGGAGGGTGGTTGAGGCGAAGGCCGAGCAGGCGGCTGCCAAGCAGACCTTCTAGGTCATGGGATGGTTCTCTGCAGCTCCAGGCTGTCTCCGGCTCAGATTCGGCGTCGCTTTGGCCCAGCGAACACCACCGACACCGTTCTGGAGCCTACAACACCTGAGGTGGAAAAGCACGTGAAAATTCCTCGCACATGAGGTTACCCAGAACACTCCCTTCCCTCCACCCAGGGCCAGAGGAGAAGGAAACACATGTGAGAAAAATCTGTGTGTCAAATGGAAAACAGTAAAACCGGGAGGGATTTTTTTTTTTTTTTATTGGCAAACAAAGGGAGATAAAAATAATTTGTGCCAGAAAGAAGGGAGGCTGCTCACTGACTGCCCTGGGGAGAGCGAGCGCAGAAAGGGAGCAGTGCGAGGGGGACACGGTACGGCCCTGTCACACAACCAGCCCGAGTGCCGCCAAACGTTCGGAAGGATGCAGAGAGAGATACCGACGGCTGTTTCCTGGGCTGACAGGAGATGACAGAGCAACACGCTTTGATTAAAACACTTTTCTGTATGAAATATTCATCAGCAAAATGGTTCACTCTTTTTCTGTCACAAGGTGCAAGAACAGGTGACATGGCTGGGACTCCTGAACTTCACCATTCTCCCCTCGATTGAAGGAGACACTGATCAGCCACAGCAACAGCGTAAGATCAGTCGTCCTTGCGGCCTTTCATACACTGCCGTTGCTCTCCTGACTAGAAAAATCAGCGTTTTCTGAAAAGCTCAGGAGCTCCTGCACCTTTCACGTCACTCCAACTAGATGTGCCAGCCACTTCGGCAGATCCCCCCAGCCAGTACAGGTTTTAGGATTTTGAGCAACTTCATTTATTTCTGCTCAAAGATCACAAAAGAGTCCCTGGAGTCCTCTCCTAAGGGGAGTGAAAAAAAAAAAGCAGCAGCTTTCTCTCCAATATGCCTGGACAAAGCGATGCGGGGACGACCTGCCTTCTCCATGCCGGGCTTCACTCAGGAGAAGCAGCGGACTTGTTGCTCTCGGCCACCTCCTCAGCCTCCCACCCTTGTCCCTGCGGGGCTGCCATCACCTCCTGCCCACCAGCGTCTCCCTGGTGAAGGTCTCGTCCCGTCAGATCTCCTCAGCGGGCTGCTCAGTAGGTCCCTTCCCACCCTGTTAGACGGAACTGCTCCAGGTTAGGCAAGATGGACGAGGTTCCTGCAGTTCCTGGGATGGTTTGGATGGCAGCCGCTGAAGGAGCCGTAGCGTGCTCACGCTGACAGATGCCAGAGAGCTGTAATCACCACGGCAGAGCCGCGGGGCAGCTGAGAAGGTGCTAATCTCCCCCCGTGCTGCTGGAGCCAGGAGACACCATGTGACAGGGCCCGCAGCCTTGGCATCTCAATCAGGGCTTCCTTCCCACGCGGTTTCATGGCCTGCCTGGGCCAAGTACGTGTTCACAGCACCCAGCACTGGGAGACGATCCTGAAACTGTGATCTCCAGAGTACACGCAGAAATACAAACCATTGGTTTACTCTCTGAATCTTCTACAATGAACACAAAGGAAGCAGGGATTATGGAAGCGGGCAGCGGACCTGGAATGCAAGTGGCCTCGCTGTCCGGTTTCACCAAATCCTTGCCCGGTGTCATCACCAATTTTTCAGAAAAACGTTTGGTGTTCCACGTGCCAAAAGAAACATTGGGCAGGAAGGCACAAATTAGTCACGTTTGTGCTTTTTAGGCTTAACTAGTTGATTTATGGGCTTTGATGAAGTGATTACAGATGAAAGAAAACATTCCAGGGAACAAGATCTGCACGCTGCTGCGGTCTCGTGCCTGTCTTTCTGTATGAGCTACTGTGGAAAAGAAAACAGGAAAATCACCGGGGGCACCTGGTCACCACCCACTCCTTTCTCCTCTCTATCGTAGAGCACTGGCTGCGTGCACAGTGCTGCACCGAACAGAAGGCAACAGCACCTGCCCTAAAGGGCCTGCTCTCTAGACAGACACGAGACAGATTTCTGACTTCTGTTTGGGCTTGATAATGGTAGGGAAGAGCAGCGATTGAATTCTGTTGCTCAAGAAATAAATATGGAGCTCGTCTGTTACCATGATCATTATTTGTACTGCTGATATGCCTAGAAAGCCTGGTCATGGACCAGGATGCCACTATGTTACATGCAAGTGCCAGACAGATACTGCACCAAGTAGTCTTAGAAAGGCTGTGGACAGCTACAGAAAAACAAGCAGCAAGGAAAGAGTAGGAAAGTGAAATGTGGAGGAGGACGAGATTGCTTTGCAAAAGACACGGAGAAACTCTGCAAGCATGAGAGCTGCAGAGAAGAAAGCACAGAGGCATTTATTAAAAAAATTTATTAAGTAGGTTACAGAAATTGATGCTGTGAACCAATTTGAGGCAAAGGTAAGTACTTTGTATCGAAATCGAGACAGGCAGGAAGGATGGGAAGGATCTAGAAAAAGAGACATAGTTTCTGATGAAACCAAGGGATGGGGCCAGCAGAAATGTGCCAAGAGATGGGCAGCCTGATCAAAGCGAGAGGGCAGAGCAACCTTCACAACAGCTCTTTGTGGGAAATGATCCACGACGGCACTTGTCGAGGCTGGGCAGAAGGATGTTGTGGCAACGGGGGTGCACAATGACGAAATCCCACGTTAGTTTACGTAGCCTGGCTGGGGGGAGCTTCCCTCTTAGCAACGTTACACAGTAAGGGAACCTCAAGGTTGTACATCACGTCAGTGCAAGGAGCTAGAAATGCTTCTCTGTCAGAGGGGATACTCGGGTTACACACAGGATCAGGGAAACAATCCTAACAACTGGAAAAAGACGTACAGAAAGGATCAAAAGGAGAAGAATAAGCTCAATAAAGCTATGTTGAGACTGAGCTATTGATTAGGTAGCTCTGAAGAAGTTCCAGAACAACAGGGTAAGACTAACAATATACAAATATCTGGTTAAGTAAGTGTACGGACTTGCCTGAAACAGAGAAGATACTTCATTTGCAAATGCAAATTCAGGCATCTGTGTTACTCTGAAACAGCTGGAGAGGAAGCTGCAAGGTCTCACCCTCCAGCCTGTAACAATGCTAGCGAGGAAAAGGAGGCCAAGGATTTCAAGACCAGCGTGAGTTTAGCAGCTGCTTCGCATAGCCTGAGCACGCACAGCCAGAGTAAGCACAGGCTTCTTGCACAGCCAGAGTACTGGTTCTGACACCTGGCTTGCCAGAAGCCACTGCAGACTTCACTGGGCAACGCTGGGAAAGCAGTGTATATTTATTAAAGGAGGACTTCAAGTGCACATGCATTGCCTCAGTAAAATAAAAAACAAAACCAAAAAAAGCTAGCACAGATGAAAGCACCGAGAGACGGAGAAACGTTCTAGCTTTATGGCTGTCTCAATAAATGTCATAAAGTAACACAGAGTTTGATTCAGAAGGTGGCCACAGAAAAGCCTACAATTCACCAGAGCAATATAGCAAAGGCAGTGCGTGCGGCCACGCGCTGCGCTACCTACCAGGAGAAGCAGAAACCCCAGTGTGCTGTGCCAGCAGAGCACCAGTAAGAATTCTGATGAAAGACTCCAAGCTCGCTGGGAAGCACAAGGCAGTAAACGCTCTTACGAAGACAAACACTCTTTGATACAGCTCTGAGAACCGAGCCTCTTAATGCACCAGGGAACAACAGCCTGCACGAGGAAAAGTCAACACTGAAAGGGACCAAAGTACATGAAACATTCAGTAATGTTCAACTCTTGCTGTGGTTTATCCAGATTTATAGCTTACTTCCCAAGACAGAGAACACACTAGCAGCAGGAGATGGATTTGAACCCTACACAAATTGGACTGATCCGACTTGAACGCCTTCTCTCTGCGCTCTTTACTCTTTGCCTAGTAGAGTGGCTTTATTTCCTTACTACTCCTTTGATTGCACCTCGATCCCCATTTCCTTGTACAAATCCAGCAGAACAAGGCCAGCACCAGCCAGCGCATGAAAACCAGCTGCCATGCCAGGGCTCAGCCCAGAATTTCAGCTGTTCGTAAAGGCTGTGCATTACAACTGTAATTGGATTAGAAACCACGGTTAGCAGGCATCACTAGAGCAATTTCTTTCTCTCAAGTATGATACCTTTCTTACCAGAGAGATTTGGAGATGTAACCAGAGACCTAGAAGATTTGCTTGACATACAACCTGGGACCTTCAAGGAGCTAACCTGTCTTTGTTCTGAAGTGGATGTGGACCGACAGCATGGTTAGCTACCATAACATAACATCTTTGAGCTGACAAATCTCCCAGGCTGTACCATTAGGTATGTCTCATTCCCATGGAGATCCCAGCTTAGCAGTGAGCCAAGTATGGGTACCTACTCCACTTGAGCTCCTTTTAAAATCCCAACTGTAGCAAATAGCATGGATGCAGCCTGCTCAACTTCTCTTTACATATACCTTTAATCTTTAGCCAGCCTTGGTATTTCTGCCTCCTCAGCAGTTACTTTAAAACAAACAGGTCACTGTCCAGCGCTATACCTGCACTGCAAGTGTAAGAAAATAAATTCCACAGCCACGAACGCCAGTTCATGAATGAAAGCCATCAGGTTTATGAGTTACTCAAGCTCCTGAGCTTCCAGATAGTTTCTCTGTCCCTAAACCCGTTCAACACAGCTGGCAGGGAAGAGAGACCTCACCAAGCAGCTCGCCTCAGGTTTGACACGCAGGCCGCTGGCAGCTCGGCTGCGGGAGGGTGCCACAGCTCCGGCCGCCGGCGGGCAGCCGAGCATGGACGGGCCCTGCCAGGAACAAGCCCTTCCCCGGCGATCCCGGCCTC